CCCCCCCCCCCCCCCCCTGTCTACGCCACTGAAGTCAATATGAAAGACTGTAAAAACATGGGTGCGGAAACTTCTCTACAATGCAACCAGGGATTTGGGTGTTGAAAAGTCTCGAAAATGGGAAAGTTGAATCCCTAATTTGAATTTAAATTCAATGTTGAATCCTTAATTGAAATTTAAAGTTGAGTCGTTATTTTAATTTTAAAGTTGAATCCTTAATGTAAATTTGAAGTTGAACCTTTAATTTAAATTTGCATTTAAATTTAAAATTGAATCCTTAATTTAAATTTAAATTTGAATCCTTTGAAATTTACATTTCAATCTATATTTTTTCAAACCTGCGCAAGCACTCAATTGAATATCATCTGCACCCCTAACATGTCGCAGCTTTAAAAAAAAATAACCAAGAACTTAATCAAAACTTTTTTCTTCACAATCTTTATGATTTCACAACCTAACGTTCATGATTTCATATCATAGGAGTCTAAAAGAGAATTGCTCAAAACTAGGAGTGATTTTTACTGTTATTGATTTGTGTTGCAGAAAAAGGTATCTGTTTGCCGACTGTTGTTCTGTGGCTGTTGTTTGTGTATATTGAAGCTGCAGTTCGACTAAAAGATCTGAAGCATTTACCATTTCACTCAGACCTCTGTAGGCCATTTGCTGCACACTGGTAAGATATACTCTATTTTGCATTTCAGATTATCTAATGAGTTATTTTATTAGTCATTAATCTAATGTTTTTCTAAAAATGTGAAAGGACTACAAATTTTATTGAAATTGTTCACTATTGTTTGGCAACGCAAGATAATTGAATATCTCCTATCTCAAAAGGGTCCTTTCATTAGTTAAGGTTAGTGTAGCTCATGTTAAGTAGCTTCTTTTTTCTAATTTAGCATTATAATTTTTTTTGAATTTTCGATAGTTACAATTCATAGCTATCTGTATTCTTCAAATTGGCTCAAATTTTAGATACTCAATTATTTCCATGAATAGAACTGATTGCCACCCTGAAAGCGTTGATTCTCTGACATGACTGGAATAAGCAACACTCTCACAAAAGGTGCTCATCAATCCCAACCATGCAATCAGTTCTCACCTTAGCCTAAGCTCAAATTGTAGGTATAGGGGTCATTCCATGCCTCAAAAAGTGTTCCCTCAGAATTAGATGAAATTTGGCATGCTTAGTGTCTATGCCTAGTTAAGTCGAAGTCTCCAAGTTCGATATTTCAAATTGTTTTGACTTCCTGTTGGGCTTGTATTAGACGCTGAAAGTTCATGAAAGTTGGTCTCTTTTGATGGATGTCACCCCACCTCTCAATTAATGTGTATCTCTAGAACGGTTAATCCGAAATGAACCATTCTGTCCTGCTAGAAAGTCCTGAAAAAGAGTTTATAGTCGTGTACAACAAAATTGGACATAACTCAATATTTTTTTCTTGTGCAAATTTTAATTTTTAAATTGCTATAATTCAAAATCAAACTTTGTGATTTTATTAAAAATTTTATTAGAAGTTGATAATACTATTACCTAAGAGGGTGTAAACTTCCAGAGTGAAGACTTTCTGGAGTCTAAAGGCACAGTAGAAAAAGTTGTGACAGCTCACTTTAAAGTGCCTGCAAGGGTGTGAATTTCGGAAAATCCGGCTGTGATATTGGTGTTGCAGAAGCAGTGTTGTCAGTTTGCATAGTTTACAACTAAACCAGCAAGTTATCATATTTGTTTTCATTTTTTGTTTGTTTTTGTTTTCAGTATTGGCTATCCTGTGGTGACATTAGGTTTTGGATTTAAAAGCTATGTTGGCTATAGGATGAGACAGGTAATCATTGCTGGACTCTAACCCGGTTATATCCACTATAAATCTTGATTAAAGAAGTTTTTTTTTCTGTGATAAATTCAAATATTTCTTCTTCATTAGCTCAGGAATGATTTGAAAAATATGGAGCAATTTAAGTTTTTAGAATTTCAAAGCTGTTTCATAACAGTGCCCTGTAATTCCTATAAACTTTTCATGGTGTGACCATGATCTAGTCGCACATCGGAAGAATTCAAATTGTCATGTATTCATTTGGGGGAATCCCATTTTTCTTTTTGTGCGTTCTCTTTTTGAGAGAAAAAAGGAAAAATTTTGATGAATGAGAAGGATTCATGATGTGATTAAACAGGTGTTCCAAAAGTTTCAAGTAAATATATCTAATTTTTAATGAAAAAATAGAGTTTAAAGTTATGGTCTCAAATGGCGAGAAGGCCTACCGTTTTTACGACTGTACAAGATTCATATTCTCCCATTACGCAAAAGGACTAGGCCAATTTCAAGCGGCTGCACGACTAATTCAGGATATGAGACTCTCCCCATTGACTAGTCCGGTAATTCTATTGTTCTCTGATTTGAAAAAGGGGATGCAAGTACCCACTTTATATCGGATCAATGATATAATATCTTAATCAATTTAATATCGTCACCTTCCCGGCAAAGTATCACAAGCGCCATTTTTACCGAAATTGAGTTATGAATAGTTCCGAAATAACAAGATGCATTTACATACGAAAATAATCATTTTTTTTACAACAAATATGTAGAAATATGAATAAAAGTCGATTAAAGTTGATGTACTTTCGTATCACAAGCGCCATTTGGGAGAAAAGTATCACAAGCGCCAAGTTCGGCAACCGCCTACCTTTCTGATTGTTTTACAATTTTTGTCGCAGCAGTCTTCGGAATGACTTGAAACTAAATTATTTTCGCATGTAATTACATCTCGTTATTTCGAATATAATATTTTTTTTAGACTAAATATAAATAAATATTTAAAATACTCCATTGAAGTTGACGAAATTTCGTATCACAAGCGCCATGTAAGAGAAAAGTATCACAAGCGCCAAGTTGGGAATAATCGCTCATCTTTGAGATTGATTTTCGATATTAGTATCAACAACTTTTGGAATGACTTGGAGCGATTCGTCACTTTTCGGCCGAAGTATCACAAGCGCTATTTTTATTAAAGTTGAGTTATGGGTAGTTTTGAATTAATAAGATGCATTTACATACGAAAATAATATTTTTTTTGGATTAAAAATGAAGAAATATGGAAAAAACTCCGTTAAATTTGATGGGCTTTCGTATCACAAGCGCCAATAGATTCTCAGAGTGCCCCGAGAAGCCGATATCACAAGCGCCAATTTTCAAAGAAAAACCCGTTTTTTTAAAGAAATTTTATTAAAATTCGAAGCAGGGAGGTGTGCTGGATCTATATTTCAAGTTTCAAGCCAAACATCCGTCTTTTACGGTCGCAATTCAGTTTTTTGTGTCTCTTGAAAAGTTGGCAAAGTGGCGCTTGTGATACTTTGCCGGGAAGGTGACGATATCTTATGGATTCTTGCGATGCCGATCTGCACGAAATATAAGTTTCGGAAACACGGCAAAAGCGCAATCAGTTTCTGCAATAGTTGAGAAGGATGCGCATTTGTGCAGAAAAGTGTTGCAAACAAATATTTAAGGAGGGGCAAATGATTCTTCAAGGAACGAGGATTTATGACAGGTAAAAGGGGAAAATGAAACATAAACTCCTATTTTTCTATTTTAAAAGAAAAAAAAATCCGAAATTTGCTGCCCCCAAAAATTTGCCGCCCGGTGCCATTGCACCATGGGCCCCCCATAAATCCGGCTGTGAACCCATTTCATGATGATTCTTACACAATTGAGGGGTCATGCCACTTGCAGATAAATAAAAATCAGACGAAGTTTAACTAAAAGCATGTGCTTTTTAGTCGTGCGGCGAAGCCGTATGGACTATAGCTTTTGATGGAGGTGCCAAAAAAATGTCCACACTTTCAGGCTAAGTTCACATTCAAATTCTTACAGTTCAAAGTAGATGAGTTATTTTCATGATAAAAATCTTCTAATTTTCAGTTTTAAGCAAGGTTCTCCTCTCTTTAGGTGCGTTACTTTCAACTTCTTTCAGGAATAGCTTAATATTCCCATTCAAACCTGCTTTCTAAAAATAACTCTTCATTTTCCTCCACAGAAAAAGCAAAGAGATGTTGCTAAAGCAAATGAATTTTATATGCAGCTCCTGCAACAAGCTTTACCTGCTGAGCAACAGTCAACGCTGGCTAGCAGCGCTCCCTCAGACAAGTTGAAAGGTAAGATAAAAGTTCCTTATGCAGCTACCTATCATCTATCTATCAGCCCTACTTCAGTTCCTGAAGCAGATGCATAATATTCAATTGTTTATCTACTTTAAGGGTTCATGTATGTGCTCAGCATAAATCTAAAAAGTGAATGACAAAGTCTAAATTCGACTATCGAAAGAGATGAATACTACAAATTCAATGATCAGTTTTTAAAAAAACTCCTTCAGTAAATAATGATAATTGTTATACAGTTTAACATCAAGATCTAACTTGCGAAGAGCATCAAAGATTTAACTGAATCCTAGTAAAAAATGAACAAATTCAATCAGTTATTCCTAGTTCTGTCTAAGTCTTCAATTGTAATGTTAGTATCAATAGAAGATTGAAAGATGACTTTCTGGCCTCTTCTAGTGATCAGAAAATTGTCTAGAAATGTACTAAAAATCTGCCTTTCCAAGTTTTTCAAAAAGGTTTAACCACTTTTTTTCTTGAAGAATGAAGGCCTATTTATTTGCCTAAACTGTGTTATTCGTGTAAATGTGCGGGAAATGTCCTTAATTCCAGTGATGACAAGTTTTGAAAAGTTGAACAATTACGATGACTACTCAACGTGTGCCAAAAATGCCAAAGTATCACCAAAATTTTCACGGCTGTAAAAGCACTATCCGGCGGGTCCCAGAATCGAATATCGTTGTTATCGCTGGATACGCGGCCCAACTCTATCATTATTTTGAGCTGAAAAAGGCTTAAACTGTATTGATAAACAATATTTCATGATACTTACAGTAAAGTAGCTTGTGATTAAAATTATGATCCTATTTCCATGTCATAAAAAACTTAATTTTTTTGTCAGTACACAAGAAAAAATAAATCTATTGATTTTATTTTCAGTCTGATTCTTTAGTTAGAAAATTTGGGGTCTAGGTTGTGCGAAAAGGATGAAAAGAATACTTCTCATAGTTACATCCAGGTTTTTTGGATCAAAATAAATATTTCAGATTCCTTTTCTTTCCTTTTCTTTTCTCCTATCTCAAATTGCTTGTGTTCTCTTATTTCAGTGGAAGCTGTTACTAAAGAAATAAGTACCGGAAATGGTATTATGAACAATTCACATCACAATAGTCAAACACACTCTTGTTCAACTAAAAGTAGTAGTAAGAAATCAGTAGATAAAGTAGATGTAGAAACGAAAAATTCATCCAAGAACTATGCCCATACAAATGGATCATCTCATCATCACACACAATTAGATTTTATTGAGAGAGTGACGTAAGTATCATTCATGCCTTCCTCAATTTTTTTCTCATTTTGTATTAATTTTTCCTTTCATTTTATTTTGTAGTAAAAATTTGATGGTTTTCCTTTTTATACTACTTTTGGAAATGAACCCAGTCATTTTTTAGTTGGATCCCATCAGAAATGTTTTACTATCTCGTTTTTTTTAAAAATCATGAATGCTCCCATTTGACAGTGTAAAATGGTAGGCTAATTGTTTTCTTAAATTTGTGATATCCAAGGTTTTTTGATTGAAAAATATGTGATTTTAAGATCTGTAAGGCATAGCAAAGTGTATGGCTGTGTAAATACTGCAAATTGTACAAATCGAAATCTTAAATATTTTTGTGCATGTTTATAATCATAGTCAGAAATCTGAATCACTTCAATATCATATGCGTACTTCACTGAATAGATATAAATGTCTTTGAATTTTTCCAGGAACGTGAATGACTTCGATCCCCATGATGTTGAAAAAGATTGTGGGAAAAGTTTAAAGAATATAAGTATACAAAATTTGAAAAGCAACAAAGATCAGTCTTCGGGTTCAAACAAGTGGACAAGCAATCAGAATCATGTTAATTCTCAGCGAGAAAAGCGTGGAAAAATTAATCGTGATGACCATGCTAACAATTCAAAGGATGAGTTTTGTTCGAGACTTGAAGCAGATATCAAAAGACTTAAGTCAGATCTGCAGCAAAGCAGACAAACTGAGCAAGACTTACGAAGTCAGATTAGTAATCTGATAGCGGGAGACAAGAATGCACGTGTGGAGCTGTCACAGCTTAAACAAGACAATGACGAACTCCAATCCAAGTGAGTATTGATGTCCATTTTCCATTTGGGGGTGTCAATGAGTTCCTCTCTCTTCCTCAGAGAGGAATCTGGATGAGTAAGCTGGGAACTTTGTCCATTTCTAAAGTCAGAGTAAGGTAAATTTGGGTATTGTTTAGATTTTTTAAGATTAGTTCCTGCTCATCCAAATTTCTTCGAGGAAATCTCACTCAATCGGTTTCTTTTCTTCAAGATTAAGTCTCAGATCAGTTTACCTTTTTCATCTGTTAGTTTAGATATTGTAACTTCCATAGAAGCAAGCAGATAAAATGGGTTGATTTATCTGAAGTGGAGTGTATCGTGATAATTAGAAAATGTTCTTAAACAACATTTACAGTGGAAACTGTGCTCAGTTAAAGAAAGTGTTGGCCTAATATATCCTGTTGGTATTTTTAATGCGATGTCAGAGGATGCAATGTGACATGAAAACCAGAAGCTCATTAAGTCTTCTTACAGAGGGATCTATTTACATTTTTCTAAGATATTACCATACATGATAGGCTTAGTCATTGTGATACTTGGGTAATGGTGACAGTATCATCTGAATTTACTTCGAAAAAATGCAAACACTTAGCAAAGTTTTTGGATCCAGAGCTGTCCATATTTCCAGGGCTGTAAAAAAGGTGAAAAAGCTGATGTTCAGGGTGATACTTCAGTGCGAACATTTTTTTGTTCAGTTTTATGTCGGTGTATGCCTTTTCAGAATTCATGTAATGAATTGCCACATTAGTTCGCTGTAGATAACCAACATAATGTTTTTAAGATAAAGTACGATTTCTCGCAAAGAAAAGTCAATATATTCTGATATGCAACTTCTGTTTGTATCTACTCAGGGTTTCCTTCGCAATCAGACTTTTTACTTTCTCGCTACCCTAGGGTAGAGGAAGTATTGTCATCCTGCAAGGGGGAAAAAAAAAAGTCGAAATTTCATCATTTTTTTTTTTATGAATGTGTCCAATTTATTTTCAAATATTATTTTGAGAAGGAATAGAGCAATAATTAACAAGTAATTCTCGATTTTTAATGTATTTCAGAGTACACGGACTGGTATCGGCACGACAGTCAGATCGCCAAAACATAGCTAATTTAGAACGCAAGTTGAATGAGGAGAAGAAATTACGGTTGCAGTGTGAATCTCAACTAGTCGCTGAAAAGAAAGCGAAACGAGCAGAGGAGGCAGCTGCTGCTCGTGCCATTGCTTCAAATGCTGCTCAAAATAACAAGTAAGGAGGATCTGAAAACTATTGTGTAGTTTGAAAGTCTCCTAACTGAAAAAAGAGGGAGGTAGACATCGTTACAATTAAATTTTGGTGTATCCAACCAGGTGTAAAATAAGCTGCCAGAATTGCCACCATCTTGTTACTTACAGTTCAAGCCACATTCTTAGTGTTTTTATTTATTGTAAAAAGTGAATTAATATTTTTCATTGGGAGTGCTTGTCAAAAGTAAGTACTGGGCAGTTTTAATTTAAAAAATCAGACTTTGAAATTGTTCGTTGAAATTTTTTGCAAGCTAAGTTATTGATTATGTTATTTTGCAAGGAAATAACTACAAACTCAAAATGAATTTCAATTGACTATCGGCTAATTTTTGGCAAATTACTTGACCCACACAACTTGTTTTTGAGAGCATGAGTCATGAATGAATCTCATTCAAAATTATCCGCAAAGCCCTGAAAAATTACTTCATTTTGCAACCACTTTTCCACCTAATGTGACCGAAAGAATTCGTTTTCAAAAGCATGAGAGAAGTAATAATTTTGGAATTGGGCATTGTATGGTGTTACAAATGACCTGGAGCTATCTCTCGATGGGTTTCACAAGCAATTGTAAAAAATTGTGTGCTGTCATGTGATGACTCTGGCAGTCAAATTATAAACTCCTACAATTTGTTTCTTTTTCTAGGTCAGAGTGTACAGAAAGCTGCCGAAATAAACGACGAGAGCTCGAGTCTGACTCTAAACAACTAAGGAGAGAGATAAAACTGAAAGAAGAGCGGTGCTTAGGTCTTGAAAGAGAAGTACAAGTATGTTTTTTTTCATTTGCATATTTTCAAATGTTTTATTTCTCAAATCCAAACCTTTAGCTGATTTTTAGTCTCTAAAACATCTTTTTAATTTAATCAAGTACTCATAAATTAATTTTTGAAGAAGAAAAAAAGGAAACCAGGAGAGCCTTTGCTCAAACAAGTTCTGTATACCAGTTTCTATCGGAGCCAAAATCTTTTCATGTTTGTTTTCTTTTTTCTTTTTTTTTTGTACAAATGCCAGGTATACAAAATCATGTGGCAGATTTGCAGATATTAGTGTTTTTTCTGAAGGAAATACACTATTGCCTCTAGACTAAATCTTCGAAAAATACACTCATGCAGCAGTAAATGTGCGCACCACAAACGGAACTGTCTTCCCACCTTATTGGCAATCTCATGGAAAAAACCCTCGATAAGCAAAATATGACGGCTAACAGTAATTTTCCCCCCATTTTATGTCTTTTCTTGGGTTACATTGATTTCAGTTTTGTAACGTTAATAAATGTTGCAACACCTAAGTTCGTAATTGAATCGTGTCGACCAAAGATGTTGGTTAAATCGGGTCAACCAAAAACCACCGATGTCCATTTTTCCAGTCTTGACTTTTTTTGAGTTGATACACACTACGTTTCAGAGTAAGTTGCAATCATGAAAGTGGTGTTAATACTCGTTTTAGGGTTATCTTAATCCCAAAACGAGTCTTTGCACCATTCTCATGATAGTATTAACTCTTGAAAAGTATTATCAACAAAAAGACTCAAGTTTAGAAAAATGGAACACGACACAATTTAACCAACATATCATTTTATTATTGTTAAAAATTTGATTTATCTCAGCTTTCCAAGAAATAGGAGAGGGAAGCTGAATTTTCATTTTTCCACTTTTACTTCGGTTTTATTGTATTTTTTTTATTTTTCCTCCCACTTTATTATCTCATAAAGTGGCATTTTTGAAGTTTGAAGTTAGATTGTTATATGCATCAATTTATTGTTTCAGACCTTGAAAGCCTACAAAGATAATCGTAGTGAAGTAGAAGTTCTCATGACTGCAATCTCAGTTTTGCAAGATAAAAATACTCATCTGGAAAACAGTTTAAGTGAGGAAAATCGAATGAAACTAGACTTGTTTGCCGCTTTGGGTAAAGCCAACAGACAAGTTGAAATCAGAGATAGTAAGTTTCTCTTGAGTTTATTTTCTTATCATCTTTTTCTATTGTTTTACAAAACAGAAATTGATGGTCAGTATTTAACTACGTATTGAAGTACATATATAGTGATTTCTTTTCTCTTCCATCTGGACGAATAATTCTGTAGCATGTACATGAAGAGTTGTATGTGTAGATATTTATTCACCCGATTTTCATGAGTTTCTTGCCAGACTGAAAATCTTTTTGAGTGGTTTGAATTCACCTAAAGATTTTTGGAGCCATTCAGCCGGCAAGCCTAATTTTTAAGCGCCTTCTACAATTTTTTGAGAAGATATACAAATATTTGACAATGCAATAGACACTAGAGATGAATCAATGAAAAAAAACATTGAGGTTGCTTGTTGGTTAATTGGTCAACTAAAATGGTTTTAAATGCTTTTCTCGGCCAGCATTCCTCACTTTTAGGCACCACAACTTGGTTTTTAGGGAAACCTGGCACATGGAGATGAAGAGTTCATCACAATATTTATTGACCGGAAATTCTAAAATCCTGCATTTTTTTTCCATGGGTGAAGCATCCTACATTTTTTTCCATGTTATTATATAATATAGCTCCAGTTTCATTGATTTTTTATCATTTGCTCTCAACATCGATGGTTTGCAAGGCTGCAAATTCTTAGGGATTAATTCCAGAGCCTCATAATAATTTTATTTCAGGATTAAAAATGTAAGTGAAAGCAGTGACTGCAATTAACAATTTCTTGTTTTATTTAGGTAAAATTCGAGCTCAAGAGAGAGAAATGGATGAGCTAAAAGGAAAAATGGCTCAGGTCCTAGCTGTGATGCCATCAGATTCTTTTGGCCCGGCGCCGTCTTCTTCTTCCATTTCCAAACTCCGTCTTGGGGAATCATCTCAATCCAATCTTGATCCCAATGCCTCTGTCTACACGCCAAAAACCAATACACATTTAACCTCTGAAGCTTAAACTGGTAAGTGTTCTGAATAGAAATAAGAAAATTTGGTGGCCATAATTCCTAGCATCGGAGCAATCCTTGATAAGAAGCTCAGGTGGGGGAACACATAAAGTCAAGCTTAATCTACTGAAAGCAAAACGTAAGAGAATGTATTGGCTCATAGGCTGTAACTCTAAACTTTCTCTGGATAATAAAATTGTATTGTACAAATGTATTTTAAGACTGTTTGGAGCTATGCGTATATGTTTTGGGGCTGTGCAGCGAATGGCAACAAGAAGCGGATCCAGATGTTCCAGAATGTGACTGAGACAGATGGTTAAAGTCGAGTTGTATATCAGGAATTCTGATATCCACAAGGACTTAGGCATCGTGTCAGTGAAGAATCACATTCGGAATCTGACGGAAAATTACAAATGTTGCCTAGGCTTCCACCCAAATAGCGCGGCTATTTCCCTCTTCAATTCTAATATCCTCTGCAGGCTCAAGAGACGAAAGCCACTTGACCTGGTTTCTGATTTTTGTTGACTAATCCGGTCAATCAATACAATAAGAATCAGGAACTCTCCTGAGCAAATTAAAAAGACACCTTTTTTGTATAACTAGTTCATTAAGCGTACACTTAGTTCTTTTCATACGCTCATCTACTTCACCCATTCACTCACCCAATCATTCATGGTTGACTAGTCCTAAGATATGTATTTAATCCTTAGAGTAATAATGCTAAATTTGTTCGCTAACAAAGTAATAATACAAAAAAAAAAAAAAAGGAAAAAAAATTCCTAGCATAATTTTACAAAAAAACTCATGATTCCAAATATGATGTACCAGCCACCAAAACCTCAATATCAAAACTGGAAAGCTTTTAAGCGCAAAATCGGCCTTTTGTTTGGATTTGAAGAAAAATCACCAATGGAATCTCTGTAATTGTCTAATTTAAAGTAGCTGAGGGGCAAAACTGGAAAAATTCAATTAATAAGGTGCGAAGGCCATTTTTCTATGTGTGACTTCTAAATTGTACTGTGATATTTTCAACTTTGTGTTCTAATCTCAGTTATTTTCCTTCTTTTTAAAAGGTGAATCTTAGTTTGATTGATGCTGCAAGTAGAAAGAACAGTCGGTTTAACAATGCCGTGTGAATTGTCTGACTAAGAATCGTTCAAAGCTTTGTACTTCTCCAGACTTCACTGAAATCGTCTCAAAATGAAGTATGTGAGTCACAATTTTATTCGCAACATCACCTATCTCCTATATTTATTTGTTTTACGAGTCTTGTGACCTCTTGTCAATTTTTATACTTCTTTATCTTTTCTTTTCAGCGGCAATGTCTGTTTTTTTCAACTTTTCTTTTTGTTTTTTCTCCCACCTGAGTAGTTACGGTTCGTCACTGCAGTCGCACAAAAAGTTAAGATTCTGTTTTTCTAAGTAACCTGTGTATTAATTTTCTTGTTTGTATCTGTTTATTTGTATCGTAAATCGTAGCTGATGTGAGGCAGTTCATTTATTAACATGTAATATTTTATGAATTAGGACTGTCTCTTGACTGGTCTGAAGAGTAGCATCGTGGAAGTCATGGATGCAATAATAGAATGTAGGTGCTTGAAACATATTGCAATGAAAACAAAGGTAACTAGTCATATTTTTGGCAGGAAGGACAAAAGAGGAGGCAGCGGTAATACATTTTCTAATATTATTAATGAATTCTATTTAAATCACTATCTTTTCTGAAATTTTTAAATTTTATGATCTGATGGTTGGCATATAATCTATATTGCAGTTCTCAACCTATTTAATGATAACGTAAGATTACATCTTCATGTCTGAAAGAAAAATTTCTTGAGTTGTTCGTAAAGTTATAAATAAAATTTTTTTGACATCTCAGAAGACACCCAAGTGAAAAATAAACTTGGGCAATTCAAATGTCTGATTCAACTTATTGAATGACATCGCTAGCAAACATCTTAGGATCCCTATTCCTGATGTAATTAGACAGCAGAGAGCAAGTGTTAGACTCTCTATATTCTTCCCATTTAGTTTTTAGTGACTTTGATGTTGGCGAATGAATTATCTACGGTGCTCTTGTCTTCCAGCCTCATAGAAAGAAATGAGCTTGAAGGCAGTCAGCAAGATTGTGTATTTGAGTATTATTCCATTCATGACTCTCCACTTTGTAACTTGTTACTAGTTCCTACTATCCGGTAATCATTTAAATGGAACTGTTTACTCACACACACACAAATCTTCTAATGTTCACTAGTGGTCAAGATTTTGATGATTGTATTGCTTTGTGTTTCTCCACTCTTTTCTGATGCCCTGAGCATCCAAATACTCGGTTTCTTGTTTAGATTATCTTTTCGAACAGCAAATCATGCCTCAGCAAGCTTTATAATTGTTAAGATCACAGGTTTTTTTGCCGCCCCCCCCCCTTCCTCCCAGGGAGTTCCACAACTTCTAAAGCCGTATTATTTTAAACAGATGTTTGCTTATTGGGTGTTTTGATTCACTGACCTATGTCAACCAAAATTAGGTCTGCAAATCGGTGGGTCTGAATCCATAAGTCAGCAACTGGTGGCCAAAAGGAATTCGCTTTAAATTGTTGTTTTAATGTGACATTACAATTTCTACAAAAGATCAACGTCCTGCATCTATTTTAGACTGAAGCAGTTCTGAAGTTAACAGCTCTAAATATTTCCTCAAATTTTCACGAATTTTGGGAGTGTTTTATTTTTGGTTGATTGATAGAAGAACCTACATTTTGCAATATATTCTGTTTTGCATCTTTTGCATCCAGCAAGAGGAGCATACTCCCTCTCCCTATGAAGAATGTCCGGTGGAAGGAAGATGTTCTGACCCCCCCCCCCCCCCCCCCCCCC